ATTTTCTGTCTACTGAAGGGGGACTATAATGCCAAATACGGACCCCATAATTTCCCCACAATCCATATCTGGTGACTCAGTACACGACGCACAGGGGAATCTGGTCGCCGGCAACATCAGCCAAACAAGACTTGGAGGTCTAAACCTGTAGTGTGAGCTGGGAGTTTAGCAAAAAAAGGGCACACGGAAATAAGGGGATATCTGGGGGGCCTCATCAGGGATGAATTCAGAATCCCTTTAAGAAGTGTTGGCTTGGCTTGGTACTCCAGTCAAATTCGTTCTCAAAACAAGGGTATCTTTAGGGATCTCAGGGCCACCGGGATTCGGAGGAGTTATGGGGGGGTCCCCTGGCATGGGTTCTAAAGAATTATCCTGACAAAAAGGCCCGGTCACGTTCAGAGACATGGAGTAGTCGCAGCCGCAAGTGCAAGGCCCCGTCCTTGGCACATGACATGTGAGCCACAACATGTTGCCTAACTGACCAGGTATCGGGAGTATGCCCCTGAAGACCCAACATGCGTCAAGCAGTCGACATAAACTGCGCTGTTCTGACTCAAAATCGGATGTAGAAAAAATCTTAGTGAACGCTCGAAGCTAATCTAGACCGCGAACAGTAATTACCTCGTACTCTGTGTACCTCTCATGCCGAATCATTTCGTGACCGTAAAACAACACTGAGAATCATCATATAGAAGGTGAGCCCACTTTCACTCCTTAGGCACTGCTAGATTGGGCCTGGCTCAGTCTGAATTCTGTGTGCAAACAAATTCAGAGCAGTTCCTAGATTTTTTAAGCATTAGATCTTCGACCTCGGAGTTGCGGGGCACGCGAGATTGTGCATCAGCAATCTGTGGTTGGATGAAATCACGTGGATAGTAGAATCAGAAATAACTGTAAGAATAACAGTAACAACAATACTAGGCACAATGCATGCAATAGCAAGAAAAAGCAAAGCAACCCTAATCTCTTACCCTAGCTTCCTGCTTCCAGACATTGTTTGTAGCACGCCGAGGCCAGAGCTGCGAAGAGGCCACATGAAGTCCCTGGACTTGCCAGGTCAGTGCCTTTTGGGGCTCAGCTGATTTATCAAGCTTTGAGGAGATTAGGGCCAATTAGGAGTTAGAGTTTAGGGCTTAGGGTTGAGGATGGTTTGGGGTTGAGGGGCGGGAGAAGGTGAGCATGCACCTCGCCGGAGCGTGCTGGGCGGCAGAGATTCAAAGCTCAGGTTTTTCGCTCCACGTCTTCAAGTCTGTGGCCGCGGTGTGGTCTGCTACTTTTTTTACAGCAAAGGGCTCACGCATAGAGGTTGGGGTTCGAGGGAGAGGTACAGGGGACTCAATGTACAGAGGCTCGGGGAAAGTGGGGAGTATGTGGCCTTCCAAGGAAAACATCAAGGCGCACTGGCAGCCCTTACCATTGAAGTCTCGTCCCCCTGGGTCGTACTGTTTCAAATTGAAAGAAGGTGGCTACCCAGAACCACTCGCAAAGGGATCCACAGAGCTTTTATAGGGGGTCTGCTTCTGAGATGGCGCCGCAACAGATTCCCCCCGGCTGATGTACCTACAAATCAATACAAATGAGTTTTGGGGTCCGGATTCCTGTTCTTATGCCTTCCTTGTCGTGGCCTTGATTCTGACACGCCCCTGAGGGCACAGCGTATCTGGGCCGGAGGTCGGTGCGTGCAACGAAGGCCTCAGAAGTATGAGACGATTGTGGATCTTAGGGTCTTAAGGGCTGCGGCCTACGGAGCTCCAAGGCACCATTCCCCGAGTCATATCGCCTGCAGCCATGAACCTCCGTTTCAATCCCCTCCCAACAAGACTGAACCCCCCAACGGATAAATTTTCATACCATGTAAGTACATACGCAATACTTATTGTAAGAGGGGGAGTTGCTTCCTATGGGAGGGAGTGAACTCCAAGGTATGGGATTTTTGGCACAGCTGTCTACCAGGTTACCATGGGACTCAAAGTCATGTGCCTTTTCCTAAAAATAGGGGTACTTGGCAGATTTGGGGGATGCAGTATGATTGTGACTCCTACACCGAAGATAGCACACACACTCTGAGAGACTCTCTTTGATTTTCCCTTTCCAGGTTGGCGCAGGGCTTGGCCCGAACTAGAAATAATCTGAATGTCCAATGCAGCCTTGGCTCAGTCGAGGGATCCCTCAGAAACCAGCCTAAATTCTGTAGAATATACGTTGAGACCAATTCCATTTGGAGACACGCCCAGATGTCTCATCAGCATACAGAGGGATCTTCACGAATCTGATTCTGCGTGGACATCTCCCCAAGCAAGGAACTCATGTTCGCCAAAATGAAGGGTCTTAGGGACCCAGCGCTACGTATGCATTCAATGGGGTCATAGGGGTTTCTCCGGCGGAATACTCTCTTGCGAGTATGTTGAGAAGCTACCATGTCAGCAACCAGGTTGCGACAGGAAAAACTGAAGCCCTCATCGCAAATTGATGTTGGGCTGCAACATAGGGTGGTGCAGGTCCATCCTTTGGGCTGCAAGGCTTCAACCATAATCCATAGGGGTGCAGGGAGTTTTGTTGTTCCTGCTGCGTCATTCCTGGGCAGTTGCAGGTCGCCTTTGGCGCGGCTTAGGTGTCCCTGATAAGGCTATGGTATTGTGGACCCCCTTATGGTCTGCCCCTGAGGCCCCGGCTAGCTGCTGCAATGTGAGCGCAGATCCATAAAGGACACAGGCCACAGAGATGATAAAGACCCACGCGCGGCCTCGTTTTGACGAAGGTTTCAAGCATGCAGCATGGATCCACCAACCCCTTCGAAAGGAGATTAGGGGACTGTTGGCTTCGCCGACAAAACTAGATCCCTACTGCTTTTGGCAGACGATTCCAAGATTTTGGGCTTGGGTTTACGCACTTCATCAAGTTGCAAAAAAAAGGCGCCAACATGCGCCAACTATGGCTCCAAACATCCATAGCAGATGAACGTCAGCATCGCAATGCCCCACTACCACAGCTACTCCAGCCCCTCATCCCCTGAAACTCCAGGCCATGCCCGGCGATCTGAAGTGCAAACCTAGTAGCAAGTATCCAGTACGGGGTAAGTGAGCATGAAAGTGACATGGAGGCTCATTTGTAGTTGTCACTCAGCTTGTAAGTAGGATAGCCCGATTGGAGCCAGTTCGAGAACTACACAAAAAAAAACCACAAAAGACACATTCCTAACAGCTCGATGGGGACTAGGTGGGTTGCTTGGATTGCCTCCATGATGGCCCAAGGCCATAACCCTCAACCCTAAACCCTTTCCCAAGCACAGGAGCCCACACAATGCTTTGAGTGCACGACTCATCCGGATCGGATATCGCCTCAGCCAACGTTGGGCCGGGGAAAATGTTTCAACAGTCTAAACCAACCCATGTCTAAACACAAAATGCTTTAACATGTTCACCCTGCACCTGCTCGACGTTTTTACCCACACGAGGGCCAAGAGGAACCATACGTTTAAACCGTTTGAACTTGCACCACGGGCTCCGTTTAAACATTTAAACTGTTTAAACCATTGAACCGAGCGGACCAAGGATCTCCCAGGGCATTCCAGCTTTCCCAGGGCCTCCCAGGGCCTCCCAGGCCTCCCATCGCCTTTCAGGGCCTTCATTGAGTGAGTCCTCTAAGCATATATTGCTATATATGATGGATAGTGCTGCGTTTAAACCGTTTAAACTGTTTGAACGTTTAAACGTTTAGACTTGAACTACGTTTAAACTGGTTTAAACCGTTTAACCTTGAAACTTGGACCATAGGCTCCGTTTAAACGCGCAAACGGTTTAAACCGTTCAAACCACGAAGACGAACGATCATTGGGTCACTCCTCTAAGCATATATTGCAATATGTTGCGGCGTCCCTTATGCTCGAATTCTTTAAATCCATGCCAACCAGAAAATGTTTGAACCCGTTTAAACCCGTGCTACCCAGAAAATGTTTAAACGGTTTAAACGTATCCCAGCAGGCAATTATTCAAGCATTGTTAAACGATAATTCAACAAGAAATGTTTGAACAGTTTAAACCCACCAAAATGCTGAAACGTTTAAACCTAAACGGTGTTTGGAGCGACCCTGGCCTCAGCAGGATCCCAAACCTCCGAAACCTTAGGGTTTAGGAGGGTTTTGCTTTATCCTTTATCACTCCTCTATCCAAACTGCCTGAGTCATGACTTAGGGTTCAAGATTTACGCTTTAGTGCTCAGAGTCGAGGGGTTAGGGTTAGGGTAGGAACCTTCCGTGGCAAAATCTTAAAAGGTTCGGTAGAAAGGAACGCTCATGTTGTGACTGCTTCCCATTGATGCCGCGCCTTTCCAATGTGGAGGTTGGGACTTTGAATGTCAGTAGGGGCGTTCTTGCGTGCAAGGTAAGGGGTCTTGCTTGAACTCATCTATAACCCAACCTGAAGACAGTCGTTCTCGCCCTGATCATGCCTTTGGCGTGATGGCACACGAGCATTTGCAAAACTGCTAGTCCCCGGTCGGAGGGTTCCTGGGGAGCCTGATGCGGTTCACTGGACTATTGCACATACATAGAGATCAAATGAATGTGCCCACCTCGCACATGCGCAAGCAGGCACCCTCATTTCTCTTCGCCAGGGAATCAACACGCTTCAAAACACAAACAAGGCAAGCACGGAGTCACCCGCTCTGTTAACGTTTGCGGGGCCACCATGCCCGTCACAGGACAAGGATCAAGCGATGAAATGCGCTGCAAGCCCCAGGACTTGGCATAGAAGCTTTCATTGGGTAGGAAGGCCACTCATACTTCAGAAACACTTCTTCGTCTCTAATACTCAACTCCTGCAGCGCATCGCTTGTCAAAGCTGAGGCAAATTTAAAACCGGCCAAAACAGCAGCAGGGGTATGTGCAAAAATGATGGCGGTTTGCGCGATTACATTACCCAGGATCTTGTACTTCAAAGACAACCAAGACTTGCACATACACATACCTGACCATCTGGCTCTTGCTTCAAACTTGTTCTGGTGATTCTGCTGCAGGACAGCAGACATCATCATGAAAGGAGCGTCGGTCCTCTGCGATGTTGCCATGCTCCCCTGCATGACCTCCCCTCTACTTCAACATCAGAAAATCAAAAGCCCCCTCGCCTCCTAGGAAAGGCTTCTACAAACAAACCTCCCAAACTCATCTGCAGCTCTTGGCAAGCGGCATGGCAACAGCTGGGCCGTAGAAAAAACGTCCCGCAGGCTCACATGAAAGACAACAGGATACTTCTCGTAAGCATCACCCAAAAAGGGTACACCAGAGCAAGTACGCTCTGTCTAAATCCTAGAAGGCTGCACTATCACTATATTCGAATTCGAAGGTCTCTCAGACTTCCCGAGCACTTCAAAAACAAGATCTTCAACGATGGTCTTGATACTCTCCTCCATGGAGTGGTCAGGCGACCTTACAGTTTTGACACAGCCGATAATGTTACTTTCATCGCATTAAAAGGAGCAAGAAAATCCAATGAACTTACCCAGCTGCTGCGTTGCGCATGTCTCGAGATACTCCACGAGCTTCTTGTGAATCTTGGCGTGCACAAAGTTCATGGCCATTAGCGCTGTTGGATCGTGCCGTCGCATGAACACTGTCTTGGGGATGCCATTGCGCAAACGCTGCAGGACCTTTCCTCGGTCTTTGCGCATTCTATGTTGCGTCTCGCGCACGAAGGCCACAAAGCTCAAGAAGTAAAGGCCACCAACCTGGTCTTCCGGACTTTGAGGATCAGAGACTTTCTCATGTAAGGATTGGATTGTGTCGTCATCCATTTCGTCGAGGAACTTCACCAGGGCGTGGTAGATCTCTTTAGCACCGCTTTTGATGTTCTGCTCAATCCTCTGGAGTTCTTGAGCATGCCTCTTATCCCGTGGCTCGTTCGTCAGCAACTTCCTAGCAACCCTCCGCAGGAGGCGCGTGACGGGCGCTACCATGGTCCACGGCGAGCAGTTCATTTTGAGTGTTTTTCAGCATTTGTGCCCGTGCCTACAAGACCACGAATGTTTCTGGTTGCTCCAATCTTGTCATTAAGAAGATTAACACTCAAGTTGGCTGGCGGCCTCCGCTTCTGCTAATGGCTGAGCAATGCAGTAGACACATGGCTCCCAGTATTTAGGGGACATGAGGGCAAACCTCTATCTTGAAGACATTTGGTCCCCTGCATTTTGGTGTCCAGGCTCCAAACGCACTTGACCTCTGCCCCCGCAACCAAGCTGCATGAAGGCCAGCAGGATCAGCGGGCAGATGATGAAAAGCAAGACAACAAGGTTCCAGGCCTTTCACTCACAGGGGTTTCAGGTTCAGAGCTTGGGTTTTAGGGCTCAAAGTCTTGGCTATGCTTTTGGGAAATGCCCTTTTAATGTTGACGTATTTGGGGCTTCGAGCACTATTCCTGGCAAGCACCCCGGGTCTCATAGCTTGTGCTTGTTGCCCTAGCTCTATGCTACATTCCGCGGTCCATTACAAGGCTTGCGATCATACAGAATCAAAGGATGTTCTGCCGCATGAGCTACTATTTTATGTGTCTATAGCAATGCAGCATGAGAAGAGGAATCACAAAACAGAAGAAGTGCAACACTATGGCTGCGGTCCGTTGGACTAGGTCAGACTTCAACATTGCAATCCTTGTCCAACGATTAAACCATAGCAAACACCTCTCAAGCATGCGAGATGCTTCGGTGGGTTACCAGGCTGGTTCTTTCTACTACACCCAAATTTTGCAGCGTTATGCCATTTCACACAAGCCTTCATGCTGCCTTGCTCGATTTTGCTTGAGCTCTGCTGGCTGCTTTCCCGGGTGTACACTATTTACGTTACATTGTATCTATGAATTAGCATGCCCAAGCTCCAGCACTACGCGATGAACCTCAGCTAAGCACCATCTAAGCTCTAGTCATGACATGTCCACACTCCCTTTCCCGTACAGCCAAAACACCGTTTGACTTCACAAAGTTCCCTGGGTCGCGCATTCTAGTGCGAGAACTACCGTCAAAACTTCTTTCTCATCTGGGTAAAAAATACCGGATTTTTTGTTGGCGGGATGTGTGTTCCCCTATCCCCCCATGTATCCCTACACCTCCTCATGTATCCCCAAATAGATTCTATGTGACCAAGATATTTCAACATAAGCACCTGCGCCATCAGCTTCACACAGCTTGGATTAAGGCTTCGGCCAGGAGAACTGGGGCCAAAAGCACTGCCAGCCTCGGTGGCAGTGGATCTTGTAGGAAAGGCTTGAAGGATTCCGGGTTGCGGCTAAGGAACTTGAGTTAAGTTACGTTTCTATAAGAGGAAAATGCTATCATTCACCATTCGACAAGAATATAGTTATTATCGTGCTCCTAGCCTTACAACTACCACTTCTCTTACTCTCCCTATTCCTGTTACTGATATACTGATTTCATTGCTGATACTCTGACGCGTAGAAGTATGGTATCGTATCTCTATTACCCATGCCATGCCATCCATACACTCTAGAATCGGTGGCTCAGCGCCGGACACAATTCCCAGCGACCGTGTGCCGAAGTGCTCGGCATTTGCTAAACGCACTAATGGCCTGCCACTTCATCATCATAGTAACCATACGCTAACAGTACAAAGAATTGTAGTAATGCTAGTAAAGGTACGGTAGGCCTGACGAATTGTGGAAGATAAGTAGCACAGGGTCATGCAGGATTTCAGTTTCATACACATGTGAGGGATAAGGGATGAGGCTTAGTTTAGGGCCAGGGATAGCTTAGGCGTGTATGTTGGTGCAATCATGGGCCCCTGTTCAAAATCCTTCGCAATTCCTGTTGCAGCAGATAATATTTTACGAGACAACGGCGGGATGTGGTGGTGGCAGAGGCTTGCGAATGTAGGTTACGCTCCCACAAAAGGGCAATCTTACAAACTCCTCATGAACAACTTAGGCTCTTTCTCGGGCCCTTGGAATGCTGACGCTGGGGTTCGGGAGTTACTCATAGTCGTAGCCGGCTACTTCAACATTTCCACGTCGCCCTGCCGATGTCGACTCCGTGGGCTGTGCAGCCATGACTTCTCTGCCACGCTCTGCCGTGCTTCTGTCTCACACTTTCCAATGTATCTACACCACACATAGTCATTGAGATGTCATTAAGCATGATCTGTAGAAATATGTAGAAATCAAACCAGCCTTGCTGGAGGTCTGACATGGGCCTTCCTTTCGGATGTCACTTTCCGGAGGATAATCAAATCTCTATGGCTTGTGTAACCAACCACTGGACCCAGCCGCAAGGCACCCGCGTCCTATTCGGACTTCCTCGCGTTCCCCATATTCAGGCTGTCAGGCTTATTGTGTATGCGGTCCACATCTAGCCCCATTTCATCAGGCCTGTAGCCAGCTAGGAACTTCCACACTGTCCGGATGCATGGGCAGTGCTTGTTGACACCGGCTACGTCAAGAACGAAGTCCTGCGGAGGCAACGGAGGCAACATGGTTGTCGACTATCTTGAACATGAGATCCCTTATGGTCACTGGAGTGCCCAGGAACACGTGTATTCAGCACGTTGCAAGAGGTCGGATGATAGTTAGCACAACTGACGATAAGGCCGGAAGAGAGCATCTTCTTACCATCCTATATACCCCCAGTTGTCATTCAACATTCCATCTTGTTGTCCATTTGATTCTCCATTGTTGGGGTAATATCCATCTATACCCCTTTAACGGGACCTCGGGTTTCCATTTAATTTTCGGTGGGATTCTCTATTACTGGGGTAATCTCCTTACATATAACCCCAATATATCTTCCTAAGTAGGAAAAAACAGCGAGGACGCTGCAAGGGGCGGTGCTGTCGTGGGATATCCTCAAGACCTGCATGAAAGCCCCGAACCTGTATTGTGCACGATATGGTGGTTTTGGGGGTCCCCACAAGAAGGATTATAATATTTTGGGGTCTATATTGGGGTCCCCCAATTTTAGGAAAGTACCACGTGTCTTAAGCTTTCCTGTTGAGTGTAGTGATACGGTTGATGGACGACAAAATCCTACAGGACACCATATACCTGAACCTGGACCTTTTCGAATACTCTACTACACTTAGTTAGGGTTATGCAGGATCTAAGGTTGAAACCATCCTTTGCTCACATGTTTGCAGTTCCTGGAATGCTGACTATCCGGAGTACCTTGGCTTTTACGAGAGGAGTTAAGGGCTAGCAGATGCCTGAGATCATCCCAAAGCTTGGAGTGGAAGCCACAACGTCTCACAAAGAGCCCCTTCCCCCATATCTTAAGCGCGAACATGTCTCAAAAAGCGAGGGGAGGGGATTCTGTCACATATTCGCGAAACATCTCAGGATCCCATGCCAAGAAGCCTTACATTTCGCACACCGTTACTTGATGAAGGGACCCGGGCTTCACTCCTTCTGTGACTGCCCAATGAGGGCCAAGTCATGGATGGTGACCCCAACCCAGGCCACCAAGGTAAGGAGAAGCCACCACAGCGCCTCAGATGGATTTCTGCAGACCAGATGTGCTCAGGACTCCATCAAGCTTGTGCAGCCATAGTCAGCCGTGTGTTCTCACATAACTCGTACTTCAACTGCTATGGTATGGTATGGGAGATCTGCATGCTTCAGAAGCTACTCAAGTTTGCTGGTGTCCAGTTCAAGGCTAAGTCCGAAAAAATGAGCTTTGATTGCAAAGCGCCAGCAGTCTGCGCACCTTGCATGAACATAAGCTTATGCCCTGGGAGTGCTGCGGCGGGCTTTGGTTCGCGCAGTCCCCTTTGACTCGAAAAGATTTGGAACCCCAGTAGAAATTATAATTTCAGCAAAATATTAGGAGTCTAGGAAACAGAAATTAAAAACTATTTTCAGGAACCTTGTAGTTGAGAACTGGGTCATTCAAAAAAAGGATTTGAGAGTGGCGGCATGAACCTTTTAGAATTGCAGTGGTACTTGACTGCCAGGGAGGTTCAGTACTGAAAATCTGACATCGCCAAGGGGGTGGGCAGGAGGCAGGCATTCCTTGCTTGGAGCTCAAGATTCCGTCCATGGGATGTAACATAGATTTCAAGATAAGCTTCCAAACGAGCTCAATGCTGCCAATCTTTTGAGCACTGGAAGGTGGAATGCAACAGGCTCAACCATGCCGGACGGCCTCACGGAGATAACAGGCCCCGAATCTGGTCAAGAAACTCCCAAGCCCAAAAGAGGAAACAACCTGTAGAATCTACATCCACACAACTTCCGTGCACCTCAGTCCAAAATCCTGATACCCTAACACCACTAAGCACAGAGCCCATGCGCCCATGAGATCGTAGTCGAAACCGGCTGCGCCCATGGCTAGTGCGAGCCTTGTCAACCATCTCTGCCATGAGAAGGGCCCAGCTCTTGGGGCTTGTGACATCCGGTTTTTTGTTAAATAGGATTATATAGGGGTTATCACGGGTTATATAGGGATCATGGAAAGGAAAATGAAAACTACTATTTACGGTTTAGGGAAGCACTGCTAGGCACCAGGTAGGCTTCAAACCCTTCACCTTACACCCTAACCCCCCTGTTCCAAAGAGCAAAAGTCCTGCCACCTGCGATCTCCTAGACTGCAGGCTTCAAACCTTGTACCATGTACAAACCGTGTAAAAATTGGGGACCGTAAACCCTAAACTTTTTAAGCTGAAAAGATTAGGAAGATGTGGAGATTATGAAGGGTTGCACAGTCGCGTTCGCGGATTATTGGATGTTAATCTGAGAGACCCCCACTTGGCTTTTAGATGCACGAAGGCAAAAACATTAGATGCTAGGTAACTCTGGGCCCCTGTTCAACCTGCAGTGCAAATCTTCTGTGCTTCAACCAAGCCGATACTCAAAGTTTGCAATTCCTCTTGCAGAAGTGTTTGTTTCGTTAAGAAGTCGCTGCTCAGTGGTTTGGTGACAGGTTTAGGCAAGTTTCTGGCAGGGGTTGTAGCAACGCTATTTTGGTGCTCATTTCTCGAATGTAAAGATCCATGAGTCCAAACATTCAGGTAAGGCTATTTACGTACTGTCGACAGACGTACGCAACGGATCTCGCACGACGGAGAGTCTGGCCTACACCTTGGCGGATCCACCTTCACGGATCCGTGGAAGACGCCACTGACCCAAGGCTGCTGCGGTCGCTGGAGGTCCTGTGTGTGGAAGCTCACGTCCCTGTAGCGCAGTTTGTTGCAAAGATCAGTGCCCGCCACAAAACGGCCGGCATGGAAGATAACCGTGGCAATTGTCGAGACCCGAATGGGAACATAATGACTGCTGATCACTGCTGCCTTGACGATAACTACGGCTGGAGTTTTCTACGCGGAGGCCCTTCCCACACCGGGCACCAGCTGTCCAAAAGAAAAGCGAGAGACATGGGCACTTCAGGGTTGTGGGTGTATGTAGGCCTGCACATCGCCCCAGACAGCAGTGGAACTTCACAGCGATATTTTGCGAAGAACTCCTTCAGCCGAGCGAGGGTCTCAAAGTGGCAGGTTGCGTTTGGCAGGTGTCATCAGGGTGTGATGCCTTTGGGTACACGTCTGACTTCACAGTTTCTTCTCGGTCTGTCTAGGATAACAAGCTCTGTCCATTAGTCTTGCAAGCTCAAGAGTCTGTACTGCTGCAGCAGACCTGCCCAGAAGACTGATCGTTTCGCCAAACTCGGACCTAAGCGTCACACGCCGTCCTCGTCTGCACCTGGAGCCTTGAAAAGCACTTCATCCTGGCATGAACTGGGCGCATGGCCGACAACATGGAAGGAAAGCTGCCATCAGATCATGTAGCGGATGGAATTAAGTGAAATCCCCTCTCTCCAAGCCCCTGCCAACTCCCCCGACAGCTACCAAGCCCTTGCGGAGAAGATGGCTTCGCGCATGGGTGCCCACACTATCCTGGCACCTCATCGCTATTCCAGATGGTCGACGTGAACACCTGAATCATAGCCGACTGGAACAGGCTGAAAGTACTTGTGAGGAAGCATAATGCTTGCTGGCACATTACTAGCTGCTAGCCTAAGCAGGAAGAAAAGTTGTCATCACAGCCTCAGCACCCATCATGCCCGCAATGCGTTCCCCTTGAGTCTTTCCATCCCCCTTTGCAGGCCTGGTCATAGCGCTGGGGCCAAGAGGTCAGGCAGAGCGGCTGCTCCGACGTCGATCGCGACAGATCCAGGGATGAGTTCTTGGCACGTTCGCAGCGACAGTTATCATAACCGGTTGGCCCTTTGCAGGGGGCTGTGGGAGCAGCTATTCCAATGATTTAGGACTCTCTTTTCGCTCACCTTCCAATTCCTGGCTTCGGCTCTCACTACCTGCCCTCTCTCACACAGCAGACTTTCTGTGAAGACAGGTGATCAGCTCGAACCATCTGTCGAGATGGGCAAGTCAAAACTATTTGGAAGGCCAAATGATTTTGAGAAACGGACGACGGAGGGAGAAACCATCCGTACCACTCGCGACTAACTCTGAGGCTCCTGCGCTCAATCCAGACATGTACCTCATATTCACTTCATTCTTGAGAATGATGTCCAGATCCCCTATCTGCACATACGCAAGACAACAGTGTACCCCTTGATTGCTAAGCTACTTACCAAGTAGGCTTTGAGGCCCCAAGAGGGGGAAAATCCATACAAATTGACTTAGGCTGCTTCATCTCATCATCCCACCTGGCCGCCGCAACATCAACACAAGCGGTTTGAGGTCGCCACATGTACACGGAGAGCCCAAGCGTCCCAGAGAGAAAGCTGAAGAAAACTACCTGCACCGGTGGCCGGTCGCTGTACACTTTAAATTAAACTCAGTACTTACAGCGCGTTCCCATAGAACGATTCCTGCCTTTTTGGGCAGACAATGAATTCCAATCTTGTGCAGACGATGGCTCCAGAGGCTTCATGCAAAATTGGTTGGAACCTCCCTCTGCCCTGCCAGAATGGAAAGCCATGTCTCAGAATGAGGGCCCGCATTATGACACGGATCTTATCACTGATGCCCAAATCCAAACTTCCAGTGAGACCTTCTGATAAGGCACAAGTAGATCGGGGATTCATGAAGATGCTGGCTCCCTTTTGCGAGTCCCTGAAACAAAATCCTACTACTTGGGACTTTTCATTGAGAAGTGCCCAGGCAAAACAGGGGCCAGACTCATGCTACTGTGGGGAGCTATAGGAGGTCTTGAACATGTTCCCTGAATATTGTTTGTTCATACACTCTCCACAGAATTCCCACATATCCCTAGATTCTCAGGGGGACCCTGTTAAGAAACACCCGTACGAACCAAACTCTTTAATCGGCAGTACCACAGGGAGCCCCAAAACGTGAGAAGTATCCAGATGCGACCAGAACGAAATGCAGCCGTAAGTTCCCCGAATCTTCAGCCCCTCATGCTTAGTTGGGGAGGTTATGGGCACAATCACAGGGATGATTCTGTGGATTATATAGCGACTACTGTTGGGAGCCAGCCCCCCGAACAAGCCTGGATAGGTTTACCTACTCCGCTACCCTCAAGAGACAAGAGCCTGCAAAACGGAAATTCGAGGGAGCTTTCCAATATCTTTCGAAGCTTCTTCCTTGTGTTCAGTTGACAGTAACCAAAGATATGGAAAGTCTCCTTTTGCGAGCCCCGTATGATAAGGATTACCATATAATGGGATCTATACAGGAATTTTCTTCTCAAGTCCTTTGGAGCCCCTCTTCTGCAGGCCCTGAACCCTAAACCCTAAACCCTGAAGCCTTGATTCTGGAAGGCCATCGAGGTTTTGCTCCACACCTTCAGAAATTGTGTGGTAAGGTGTTATCCCAAAGGGATCTGAGAACTTGCCGAACTTTATGGGGATTAGGTTGGGGTTGTTCCGGGCTGATAGTAAGTGTGAAGCTCTGCAACCCCTGGTAACTCTTGGGAATCAGGGAATCATGCCATAATCGTACTAACCGTGGCAACCCAGCTAATCACACCTGCTGCCGTGCTATCTCTCTTCAGAAATCCGATCCAAGTAGGTGTCGTATACTTGTCGTGTATGGCGTATGGCAGCTCGGAACAGGTGACTAGTATGCCGGCTGTCCCGCCTGAGGGCGCGTTCACCCCCTAAAAGTGTGTGCTTGAAACAGACCAGCGAACGACTTTGCTTTCACCCATCGTGCAGGCCCCACGTCGTATCATCGGTGGGGCTTGCACTGACAATACACGTAATGACTGAACAGTTATCCTAGTGCTCGCAATCTCTAGGTGCAGGTAGCATTGAAGGTTTTGCTGTGGGGCGGCACGACGGTGATCTGCGTTCTACTGCTTCACTACGGGAATCGATCCCCCCCCAGAAGTCCATGATGGATGACAATCATCTTCCTGAAGCCTCGGATTCCAAAGGACCAAGACTCGCACCTCAACCCTACTTGTAGAAACCACGGAGCTTGCGCAGTTGTTTGGTGCTAGAACTCTGCAGGATAGAGCGCTTCATGCATCATGCAAGGATCCACCGGAAATTTTGCAAAAAGATGCTATTTGACTCCCAAGTGGCTCTTTCATCCGTCACCCAGGTCCCTAACTGCTGGACATTGAACCCTGATCTTCTGCTCGGTGAATTATTGGCTTGGTTGTGGAGCCCCTATTCAGCTGGCTCTGCATTCCGGAACCTCCTTGCCCACATGCAGCCACCGAACCTCGTGCTCTTGGGCTTAGTAGGCACGGTCCGGTTTTGAATAGAGGCTTTTGCACTTTGAAACCAGAGGAACTTTGCTGGAGGGAACCCTACGGAACTTTGAAACAAGTGGTACTCGATTGTAAAGAACCCTACGGAACTTTCAAACAAGTGGCACTCGATTGGAAAGAACCATACGTAACTTTCAAACAAGAGGAACTTTGTTAGAAAGAAGTCTACGGAACATGTAAAACAAGAGAAACTTGATTGGAAAGAACTCTGCGGAACTGCATAACAAGAGAAACTTCATTGGAAAGGGCCCTCCGAAACGTCAAAACAAGAGGATGGAAAGAGCCCTGAGGAACTTTAAAACAAGAGGAGCTTGTTTTGAGAGAACCCTCCGAACTTTGAAACAAGAGTAACTTGATTGGAGAGAACCCTACGGAGCTTTAGAACAAGAGGAACTTGATTGGGAAGAGCCACGCCGAAGGCCATGCTTTGCTGATGAAACATTAGGCGCCCTGGGTAAGAGCATCGGTGGAAATCCGAACCTGAACCAATGCTCCAGACCTCAATAAGGTTTATATGGAGGTTTTATAGGGATAATGGAAGATAAAATGGAAACTACTATCATATTGGGGTTATATAGGGGTTATATAATCTACCTGAACAGGTCAGGACCGACACAGTGCTCTACGAGAGGACTCACCATATAAGCATTCTGAGGTTGCGCTGTGAAAAGCATAGAGAAAAAGTCATATGTGGCAAAAGCCAGTGTGGTCACATGACACTCACTCTGAAATCAATTTGTAAACGTGCACCTTATCACATTATCCTTGTCTAGAATACTGTGCGATTGACTGCAGGGTTCCACGCTTTCTGATAGTTCAGTTGGATTGCTTTGAAGGAGGATGAGGAGGTTCGGAGGGACAGGAGCAAAAGCAGGATGACGACATGGCATATGCTTTCCACAAACGGCAGGCCCTCAATGTATACCGCAATATAATTATACAGTCCATATGATGGGCCCGAATCTTAGGAACAAGGCAAGAATCGCCAGACATCATGGATGCCTTCTACAGCTGAGGTCCGTGCCTGTCGCTACTGCGAGCAGGAAGCAATCACTAAACCAGACGAGATCCGTCTACTGAAATTTTTAGGTCGAGGTCGGATGACTTGAGTGGTGGTAAACGACCGCTAATTTTCAAACTTTTGGAGGGGGACCGGAACAGAATCTATGTTGCATTCCTCATCTTCCCCCAATGCCTCCCAGGCGGTACGCTGGATCTACGCTCTACTTTAAACGGACATGCATCTATGCCTTCATCGTACTTGGCAATGCTTTCTTGCGGGTGAAACTATGAGCCATTGTGCCAGCAGACGCATAGCATATCCAAGCCTGCACTTGCAAAAACGAGAGCAGCATACTGGCTGTTACAAACTCCAGCTTGAGACTTATCTGAGAGGATTCTGGCGGGGGCTGTTTCTTCAGGATGCTGCTCTGCCAACGCGGCAGGCAGTCGCGTGCTAAACAACGGTAAGGTTGGCGGCTGAAGCTCATCATGCAAGATGCTGCAACAAGAGCTAACAACTACACATGAATGCCAGTGTTCGGCCCCGGCCAGATAGGAGCTGCGGCTGGAAAAGACACTTCTAGACTCTGACCTTAGTGTTGTAATGAGGTCTAGCAGCTGCCAGTAACCTGACGAGGTTCAATCTGACGATGTGGAGATCTGAAGAGTGAGTCATGAACATTCGGAGAAGCCATAGGTAATTGAGCATGCTTTTGCAAGACACCTACACCAACCATTTCCCAAGCCTTCATCTGCACGGGCCCATCGGGATTCCCATACCTCTTTTACCAGATGGTTCTTTGACTCAGGGTTTGGGGAGCTTAGATTTTGGTCAGTTGGGCTGTCACACAGCTTCCACCTTGCTTTCCAGCGATAACCCAATGCGAAGAAGTGGCGGGCATATATATATATATATATGTATATCTATCTATCTGTCTATCTATCTTATGGATCGAGATGGTCCGAACTAAGCATCGGATTTCGGAGCATTGCAGGTTTCTGCAATCACCATAGCCAGTCCTGCCTTACCTCTTCTGCGAGATTAGCGAGCAAAGCAAATGAAAAACCCATCACAGCGGAGACCGCCAGCACCCAGCCAGCCGGGGCACTTCTCATAATTCTTCCGCGCGGCATCATCTGTCAATGCAGCATATGCCTTGGAGACCTCCGTGGATTCTGCAGCTGAATTCCATGGCCTATTGTCAGAAATCCTGAGGTATAGCACCCGGCACTCGGTTTGGTGCTTCAGGGTGGAGAAGATGCTGTAGAACTATACTTACAGCTGGTTTTCACAGGCAAGCCCCCTGATTGTACCCACGACCTAGGCTGCAACTTGCTCATCTTAGATTGGCAAAATTGTGGTCGCATGTGGCTTCCCAGTACGATGCAATCCTGCATACGTTTTGACAATCCCCCGTATATGCTTTTGCCGTTGAACATCTGCCAGAACGTTCGCTGCGGAGCCTGCTGGAAGAGAACTGGCGCCAGAGGGTTGTCCTTGTCCTGCCGATTGGTAGAAGAGTAAGGCTATTGTGACTTTCCCATGTAGCCAAATGCAAGATGCAGCGCTCTCAGAAGATTGGCACGCTCCAAGTTTACATCCAACCAGACATGGACAACTCTAGACGGCGGCTACACGCTAAACCCTACACCAAACTCACAATCCTTAGAATATAGTCCCTATACAATCCCAACCTAATATATTCCCCTGTTCGCTACTCAGCGCCAGTAGGAATCTTTTCAAGCAGGGGCTCCTTGTCTGGGTGATGCTGCAGGGACTTCGTGTGGTACGCCTGGAGTCGCAGGGCGTAGTACATCTTAGTGAAATTAGGGTCTGGTGTTTAGGGTTGCACATGATACCGTACTGGATTTGTGACTGGATGACAGGAGGGGCATTATCTTCATCATTCAGGCATGTACCTGAATTACGATGACCATAGCTAAGAACAGGTTTTGGACTTTCCTTTGGCATCGGCAGGATGACTCCTGACATTTTAAGAAACATAGACAAAAAGCCCAGTACCCCTCAGTCACAGAATATGCTCGCATCATCCAAGAGATATCGCCCCCTTAAGTAGATAAAATATGGAAATGTCCAATATCGTAGCATGATCCTCTTGTACTCTATCTACTGCAGTGGACCTAGACCCTAAACGCCTTCTACCCGAAATATTCTAATCCTTATTATTGGGCCCCAAAAGGGTACCCGAAATTTTGGGAAACCCCTAAGCCCTATATACCCCTAAAAAACCACTATATAACCCCCATAACTCCTTTAAAGGAACCATGAAGGAACCCGGAATTTTTGGGAAACCCCCATTTGTGCACCAAATTCTCCGGGAGAGTCAGCCTTCTTGATCTCTCGCAGCTCCGCACCTCTTTGGACCTGGGACAAGCAGCTATCAGCAGCTAACATCCCTGGGGGGGTTGGGGTTTAGGGAAAATAACGGGGATAACTAGGCTTATTATATGGCTTGAAGGATGAGAGTGGGGATAACTAGGGCTATCATATGGAAGGGGGATACCTAGACTGCCTATAGGGGGTATTAACCAACTTGCTGCGTCTTCCTGCCTCCAAGTGCGAATGGCTATGTCTCAAAGTACAGGGCTCCCATATTGTTGCAAAATGCACCGCATCCTCAGCATGCGGAACCCAAGAAGGGCAGAACTTTGTGAGGCTTCCATGTTCCGCTTCGCTAGCTCAGTCTCTGCGAGGGCCTTCAAGAAAAAGGGGAGGCGACGACGAAAAGATCAGAATCAAAACGCAACTGCTGCGAATAGCAAAAACGTGTGAGATGAGGAAGCATGCAATGCCCAGCAACACAGCTCATCCAAACCAATCATAACGTGTTAACAACCCTAATCCACAAACCCACTCCCAACACCACTAAGCAAGCGCCAAATCCGAAGCCCTAATCTCGAACCACTGGGTTCCTCAGGGCTGGCAGAGGATAGAATATGGCTTTGGGGTATAATAAGATCCCCATA